CCAATTATTTACTGAAGTTCATAATTTACAATCAAAATGATCAAGAAAATTGAGTGAAACATAATAAGCAGACAAAAAAACAGAACCAAGTTCTTGCGACATGATGTGGAATTTTTATTGTGAAAGTTAAATTATACAAGATCAGTTCATTTGAATAAAAAAGGAGAAAAATTATCATTGAAAGTATAAAGATTCTATATGACCGTCCATGCATTACAACAATATATCTATACCCTATATATTTATACTGGTGCTTCTCATTTATGATTCATATTTCAATTTGCTTAAGTAGCGCTTTCAAAATGTAAAAAGCACATATCACCACAATAAGACAAATATTGTGGATAGTGAGATTATAATTCATGGATTATGAGAAACACGTGCTTTTTTAATGGGGCACATACCACCACAGTAAGACAAATATTGTGGATAGTGAGAGATTCTAACTCATAGATAATGAGAAACACAAGCTTTTTTAATGGGGCAGGGTGGGAATGCAAATATCATCTTTAGGGCCCACAGGCTAAGCTAAAATAAAAAATAATTAAATACAATTATAAAACTGGTTAATTTTTCAGATTAATATTACTTGGAGGGTTTAAACTGAAGTTGTACAAAAATCATTTCAACTATAAGCAGACGAACAAGGCTTTGAAGAATAAGTCTTTGGAGCATTGTGACAGTAATTCAAATTCACAAATTGGTTTGTCACTGATTCTATATAAAAAAATGAGGATAGAATGGGTTTCAAATGTGGCTTGATTTGTGTACCATGTCATATAAAATCTAATTGTCTAAAAACATGTGCTAAGCTTAAAATAATGCATTTAAGTTAAATCTAAGCCATATTCAGCATAAATTCACGGTGTCAAGCATAATGGTTCGTGGAGAGCAGATTGATATAAAGCTAGGCTTAACCCACAACTAACGCAATTTATATAAAATGCCTGCACACGACTTTGTATCATTCATGTGAATTACCTCAAATTGATGGTATGGATCTTAATAAACAAGGACTCAAACAGTAAGATTAATCCACAAATTTAAGTGTCTCCCCAAATCCAAAACAAGCAGGTGACAAATGATAAAACAGCAGACAGCTACACCTCCCTTTGGGAAGAATTTATGTACTGTTTAATTTATAAATGGATAGAAATGAGTAGTAAATAAGGAGATAGTACTAGTGAGTCCATTGAAATGTGTGGTTGAAAATGAAATTTGATCATGTATAAATGTTTATAAATTTTGCCAAACGTAGGCCACGTATCAATGAACGTTAAAAAGCCAATTGCTGTAACTTGTCAGGTAAAGTGGCAAGTTGAGTTAACATACTGCTTGGCCTGTTTGGTGTCTGTTTGTGACACAGATGGTTTGGTAAGGTCAGAGTATGGTTTGGCATGGTCGGAGTCCTTTTTCTCAGAAGAACCTCTTGGATCATAAGGATCAGATTCAAGTGGATCTTGCTTTTCAGTTGAAGATGAATTCTTGTCAGCTTCTGGGGAATTACTTGATGATACTGCATTTTGAACTATGGCATTATCCTTAGGAGCAGGACTGCCATGAGATGATGCAACTGGATTCACAGGTGCATCCCATGTCCTATTCTTGGTTTTGCTTGAAGAGTTTGCCTCTGTGTAGAAAGAACCATGTCTTATATCTCTGTAAAGATCAAAGTCTTGAGATCCCCATGAAGGCACTGAAGTCAGATTTTTGAACTTGTTATCGTCTTTAGCTACGCCATTCATGTATCCAACATTTGCCGTGTCAATATATGCAAAGGAATCACTTGATGAGCGTCGATGACCTCCTCTATGCACAGGTGTTTCAGGCTCATTGAGGAGTTCATCAAGCCAAGACGGCTGCTCTTCTATCAAAAAACTTTCAGAGGAAGCACGTTGATGTTGTGCATTACCATTTCTAGGCGCTGGGAGACCTTTCTGGGCAATTGCTGAAGTAGGGAGGTATTCAACGTACGATGGGGATATGCTAGGGAATGGACATTTAGGAGGCAGTAAAGAATTTTTTCCGACATGCATAATATTTCTGATGCTAGATGATCTGGAATTTTCCATAGCTGAAGATAACCAGTTCCTGTCTAGAATAATAAAGATAATATCTAATGAGGAAAATATTTGTGAAAGTAATTGATGGATGAGCAAAACTTGATCTCGTGAAATTCATTGCTTACAGGCTTTGCTAAAATTCATAATGGGGGAGTGCATGGAAACTATTTCAACTTAAAAAATCTCACGTTTATCTAACATGTACTGACTGACAGATTGAAGAAAACAAATGAACCCAATAAGACATCAAGATATCAGGTTACTATAAAAAGTGAGGATAGCAAAGAAACCAAAATTCTAATCTAAGCATAAATCATCCGACAAATATTTTTCCAACGCCATTCGAAGATGCATAACCATGCTTACATATTTTTGTTCAACACGTAACATAGGAAGAGAATGGCAATCCACATAAATAGAAGAAGACCTAGCGATTTTCCAGACAGAGAGTTAATAGAATATATTACAATCATGTAACATGCAGCAAGTATTGTGTCATCCACAATCACATGTTTCAATTTGACACCACACCCTAAAACACATGCTTATGAAGTGGAGATGAAAACTAAACAGATCTTGTGGATAAAAGATAGAACTAATGCAGCCAGAATGAAAATTTGAAAAGGTGAAGAATTCAGTTTAACACATCTAAAATTGACAAAATGTTCCCACAGTGGGAAATTGGCCTCTAAATAGTAACAAAAGTTATCAGGCTAGCAATTAAAGAGGGAGAGCAGAGGATCTTGCTCACTGGGAACAACCCCATCATATTCAGAGACAACCTTGTCAAACCCATCTGCCTAGCACCATTTATACATCACGTTGCTTGTCCTGTACTTAATTTAAGTATGATTAATTGCCCAAAAGTCACATAATAAGAGATGGGAAATCCTATCTATGACACTTATTTTTGCAAAGCCAAGGTGATTATTTGCTTTGAAATAGAAAGAAGCTAGACTGGCCATCCATAACCAAACTAACTTGAATGATCATGGAAATGTCAAAGGCTAGCAAGAGTAATCCATGCATTGAGACCATTCAACCTAATCAGTGCCAGTGGTATTACCAAAATGAATGAAAATAAAATGAAGCCCCAATTATCACTATCTATTGCTCAAAACAAGATCATCCTTAAAGTGGCAATTGTAAGAGTTAACATCCAAGCATCAATGCACAAATTCCACATGAGAAACGGATCATGTTCATGGATTGCTTTCAACCTAAGAGTTAACATCCAAGCATCAATGCACAAGTTCCACACGTGAAACCGTTCATGTTCATGGATTTCTTTCAGTCACCAGTAAAACTGAAAAATGCGTTGGCAGAGCAGTGAATTCCTCAAAATACATTTTGTGATTTTCCTTCAAATGAAAACCAAGTTAACTGAAGTTGAAAACTTATGAACACATAATCTCATTCGTAACACCTACCCCAAATTAAAGAACACAATTTACTCATAGGCATTAGAACAAGTTGCTCCTCTATTTATGAAACTCAAATCTTTTACACAAAAATTCTACAGAATCTCACAAATATTTCCAGATAAACAATTTTGTAAGATTAATCCGTGTCAATCCGCAATAAGAAAAATAAACATTATTTCCTTCTCTAATATCATACTTCCTTAAATTAACTCGGATTTAATTTCCCATCTACTATTCCTTCGTCACCCTGTCCACAACATCTCACAAATAAATATAACAGTTTCATCCTACCCACATTTCCTCATCGCCCAACAAAATTACACTGAAATTAAACAAAAAAAAGTAAAAACTAACAAACAATATTAGACATATTTATATCACATACTGTAGAAAGATTTACATGATCAAATAATAACTTGCCTTGATTATAAATAATTAATAAAGATCTCGGCGATTTGATTCAGAACAAACCCTGAAATATGTAAAGAATCTGTAACTTAGTAAGCTCTGTTTTAGGGTTTCTCCTTCTCCACCTCCTCCTCCTCCTCCTATCTACCTGGATAGTTGAACTCTTGCGGTGAAAAGTGTGGCAATTCCTTGGAATGAGCTTTTGACAGCTCAAAATGTGTTGTGTTTTATTTTTTTTTTATTATTGCATTTGGTGAGTATTTTACAATTTCAACCCAATATTTGTGATAAAACCCAAAGCAATCTTGTTTTCTTTCTAATTGGTCCTCAACACCAAAAACAAAAAGTTCCACATTCATAAGAGTTGAGAACTAGTGAATTAGATGAATTGTGAGTATCCATTATAACATGTTTGTTTAGACTAATTAAAGAGAGTTAATCGTTTCAGTGATCACTGAATTTATATCTATTTCTTCGATAACTTATTGAAATTTAAAATGTAGAGTTTTGGTCATCAAACCTTAGAAAATGTTGTACATTATTGATTGATATAACTTCCGTCTCAAACTTTTAACGGAATTGATGAAGTGACTGACAAAATGCACATTTGGCGCTATGTCACACTATACTTTGAAATAGTCAAATTTGGCCATTAAACTTTAAAAATTGTCTTCCATTGCTCACTATAAGTTTGGATTTAATTAAACCTCCGTTTATCTCCCTTCAAAACAAAATTATTTAATTTTCATATTCATTTTAACCACACATTTATACAATAAAATATTATATATGTAAACTAAAAAAAAATTCAACTTTTTACTACACATTCTACTTTCTTTTACAATATGTCGATAGAAATGTAAGTTTGATCAACTTAAATAATAATTCAAGATTTTCCAAAACATTCACTTATATGAGGTACTAAACATGCACCTTCTTCTTTCTTTTACAATAAAACTTAAAGGGTAATCAATATTTAAATATAAATAATTTTATAAATACTTTACAAAAATTCATAGAATTAAAATGCTACCCTAATAAGAAAAGATGTGTTTTTATTTCAATCTTTAGTAAGAACTCAAATTTCTTATTGTTTTCAAAGTGATAGATCATCGTAATCAAGATTTTCTCCTTGAAGATAATATGACTACAGATACTTCACCCACTTTTTAATATATATATTGTTGTATGAATTTTCTTAAGAATTAATTTTTGATGTAAATTTTATAGCTTATATTGTGTTTAACAATTTATTCCTTTTACGCCCTTATTAATTGATCTTGAAACTTGAAGTGTATTTTTATTTATTGCCTTATTTAATAACTCTATTTTATCTATTTTTCATCTGATAAGTAGTTTAATACTTTGTTTTTATAAACTTTTGAATATAAAGAATCAGACTAGACCGAACCAAAACAGATTGGTTCGGTTCCATAGTTAGATATGAAATCAATCGTTTCATTTATAAGATTCCCATTGACACTTGGTTCGGTTCGTTTCCCTTCGAAATCAGATTGAACAGGACCACATCCATTCCTAATTAATTGTAAAGATAATGCAAATTTGTATATATGATAGCAACACTACATTAACTTTTACTATAAAATTTAAATGAAAAGAGTATTCAAACAAATTTAGTGATGAAATTGTTTATCGATAATACGAGATATGAAAATGAGGAGAAGAAAAAAGATTTATATCTACCGTGCTATGTATTTTTCAATTTCAAGTTAATAACATTACTTTTTGTAACAATATTTCCATTTTTACCATAAGCTATTGGCTTAGTATATAGCTCACTTGGCATGAATCATAAACTGCACAAGTTAGGCCAATATTTGATGTGGTAGTGATTAGAAGTTGGGCAAATTTTAGCCCCACAATTTAAGTATGAAAAGAGGAATTTGCAAACAAGAAAATGAGTTTTAATTTTTACTAGTACAAGCATGAGATAGAATAACTCACTCGTGGGTGTACAAGTCGTGCAACCACACGTGATCATATAATCAGAAGGACACGATAAAGACCATTTTAGAAGAGATGATGTTTTGTCAATTTAAAAAAGCACAATTTCTTTTGGGAAGAAAGGTGCAAAATATTATGATAGTGGACCTTCGTTTTTAATTTGGTACAATAAGAAGTTAAAAGATACACCAAGGATTGAAAATTCTTGTTCTATCCCCTCTTCACATTATAGTGATACTCTAACTCAAGCCCCCAGGGCACATCTCCAAGTGGTAAAAGGGGAGAGTGGAGAAATCCAACTTTACTTGAGGCTGCCGCATCAAGGATTCGAATCCTGAAATATGGATTTGGCTTTTGGATAAGTACAAGTGTACAAGCAGCCTTTCACCCTGTATCTTTGGAGGCATAACCTACGATTTACCTCCCTCATGATGCTTCAAAGTAGGGGCGGTGGGAGACCCTCAAGGTTGGGGTTCAGCCTTTTTGATACTCTAACTCAAATTAAATAATAAGATTACATATTAGATTATAACTCAATTAATAGGTTATTAATAGTCTCATCTCAGTCAAGCACAATAAATATTGGTATTTTCATTTGAATTAGTCTACTTGTACATTTCTTGTATACACGTAACATCGCTCTTTTCATTTTGATGTAGGTAGAAGGATAAAAGAGAACAACTACGGGATCACAAATGTGAAATCACGCACGAATTAATGATTGGGTTAATAATTAAAGAACAATCTTCAAAAAAAATTATTAACATTCATAACATTTAAAAAAAATTAAAAGTTTAAAATGTTTAAATAATAAAAGCAATAAACAAAAACCTAATCTAATAAACCTCTAACTATTAGGACGCAATTATTCTTACTCAAATGGAATAATTAAGTAAAGATAATGTGTTATTACTTTGTAACATATCATGAATAAACTATGATGAACACCTCGAGCATGTATTATATATCGTACTTTGATTTGTGAAACGCTCTATATGTTAAAGAAGGTTTATTATATTGTATTGGAGGATTGTGCCCTTGCATGTATGTGATATCGAGAGATTTCCTTGCGATATGAGAGTGGTTGTTAGGATAACGTATTGCATATCCTCGGCCGGGCTTTTATATAATATTAAGTGCGAGTGCAACAATGATAGATATGAGCACATCACCATAAATTTATAGAGTTTAGAGGTTCGAGGGCCGATTGTTAGTCGAGATTACATGTGGCACCATCCACCATAAATTATAAGACATAATAGTCTTCATGTGCAAGCATCGATGGGGGAAGGATCAGTAGAAGCCTAGCATAGACGGATCTCATAGGGATATGGTTCATCGAATAGCAAAAGTATGCCCCTGTTTGACAACCATTATAAAGAGTGTTTTATGGAAAAAGTAAATTTTGAAATAGTGATTTTTTGGAGAATATGTAGTTAGAAAGTAGGAAATAATTTTGAGTTTATGTGCAGAATATTTTATTTTAAAAATGTGATTGAAAATGAGTTTGAGAAAAAACTTGTAAAATAATTGTCAAACCGGGACCAAATCTTCCAAGCTATAGAATGAATAGAGACCCGATTCATTCCGAAGCTTGCTTTT